AAAAAAAAAAAAAAAAAAAAAAAGATGAAGTCTCTTTGAATATTTTAATATGCTTTTTTCCCCAGATCTGTCCCCACCTGGACTGAGTTTGTGAGATAATATGTCGCCTGAACCATCCACTGTTATCTCCTCCCTACTTTTCCGGCCACTCCACGGTCTCTCACCGTGTCTGGTAAAACGGAGAATTGCCAAACGTGCTCACGGCGCAGTAGCTAAGAATCGGGATTGTTCTCCTTCCCGAGTCCATGCAATACCGAACCATTCCTTTTCACTACTGTTCTGGAATTCCCAGTGCTGTTCTCAGTCCTGAGCTAATTCCACGTTTCTTGGCACTCCCTGTTCCTTATCGCTTTACTTCCGGGCAACGCTGCCTTATTCCCTTTTATAATTGTACTCAGAATATTTTGTGTTCTCCTTCTTCAGATACCCAGAAACTGTATCTTAGAGAACAGCAAGCACGTTCTGATTCAGATGTTGTGGGACAATATGAAATTGCACAAAGATCCAGGACAACCTCTCTACATCCTGTGGAATGCCCAGAGTAAGTGATCAGCGTTCTTGTCCGCTTTCCAGAAAAGGTCTCCCCCCATGCCAGAAGTTGGAACTGATAAGCACTAAGAGTTTGATCACGCCATTCTTGTCTTGCAGGTCAAAACCATACCCTCGTGTTTGAGAGTGAGTGTTGCGTTACGTCTCGCTGTCCCTGAGGAATTATTTACTTCTTTCCTTATTTTGAACCACACGCCCCTCCTCTACCTGTGTGTGTCCTTGTGTATTTTTATGTGGCTGCTTTTTGGCTTACAGCAAAGCATCCTGCCTGGGCACACGTTTGTTTTCCAGGCCGTTTTGTGGAATTTGCCAATTCTTGTCTTAAGTTTTATTTCCCTTGAGATAAACCCGAGGAGCTCTTATAGTATTTTGGAGATAATTTCTGAGCTTACTACCTGTTCTGAATTGGCCTTCCGTGTTCCTTTGCTTACAGCTCATGTGATCAGACTGTCCCTCTTATGGCTGGCTGTTCCTTGTACTTCATTGGTGGACCCCAGCTTTATGAAGTTCTCTTTATGCAATGCTCTTTTATTTTCAAAACCAGCTTACAGTCTTGATCTTTGGTTTACTTTCCAAATTTCTTTCTCCAGCTCAGAAATACCCAGTGGTTCGCTTACTGCAAAAGGATGACAGTTGCTTTAACCAGGAACTCTTAAGGAACATGGTAAAGAGTATTAAGATGAACGATGTCTACGGGCCGATGAGTCAGATCCTAGAGAGGCTGAACAAAGGACCACAGATTAAAAGGCAAAGGTAAAACAGACGTCCGAAAATCCGCATTGTTTTCAGTGATGGTAAAATGGGATAAGTCAGTCAGTCACCTGCTCAGAAGGTATTTGTTCCTCCTCTTCCAAAAGAATTGCTGCATCTGGATTTTGAGTCGTGTTGTCGTTTCTTCATCCCATGGGATTCCTTAGTCTTGGTCCACACATTGTACTGAGATGGGCTGCAGTATCTTCCCTTGGGCCGAGCATTTGGTGGGACTCCAGCCATTCAGTAAAGCAGGTCTGGCCCAGCCAGTGTGTTTAGTAGCTAAGAAGCCTTAATTGTTTGTTTGTTTGTTTGTTTATTTTATTTTATTTATTTTTATATTTATATTTATATTTATATTTATATTTATATTTATATTTATATTTATATTTAT